AACGCTAACGACTCATAAAATATGATTTAGAAACTCACATTTTCTTTAACCTCTTTACCTCTAGTCACACTTATGGTACCTAATAATGACTTGGATATGAGAAACACGAGTTAGACTCGTGGTACAGTTATATTTTCATTTTGAATTCTAGAAAGTGTGTATAATGAGCAACGTAATATGATGAACTTTGATATTTTTTTCATGACATAATACACATAATTTGAACATATTCAAATTGAGAATATGATTTTTTATCGAATTTCAAGATTTTGTAATCTACCGAAAAAGCATACTTTACCACAATCTGAATATTAGAATTTTGGAGTAAAATCCACATTAGAGATTTGATTTCATGAATCTTTATATGAAATAAAATCACCGTCAACGTTATACATTCGATTATTATATTTTACAATATCGTCATAGATATCTAATAGAGGAGAATGTGAAATTTCAATGAATAGGTAAATGTTTAACCACATAACATCAATTTTCTTCATTTATAAAATCACCAAAAACAAATTATCTATAATACTTCGACTCCTTTTCTTTGCCACGTCTGAATCAATAAACAATAATCGTTAAACTTCTTTCATCAACAGAAAATGAAAATAAAAATTCTAAAAGGGCAATATTAGTAAATGTAAATATTCAAATAGTACCAGGTGAAGACAGATTGTGTTCGCTAAATTCTTCCTTCTGGAAATCCCCTTTAAAGCAGAATATTTAATTTCGTCGAACCTCCTCTGCACGATAATTGCGAAAATTATTTAAATTATTAAACGGAAACCGTACACAAAACTAGATACACCGACAAAGGACAGTTTCGCGAAGTGATTCCCATGATTGGACAAGCACGAAAGCGTCGTGCAGACGTCGCGGCGCTTCCGCATACGGAATTAATAGTCGGAAACGACGAATTAATGTTTCAAAAAGGCGCATGGTACTCGTGTACTGGGAAATTTCTGGCGTGGTTGAGCGCGTGCACATCTAGATGAAAGTTTTACGAGGCACGTGCACGAAATTGCAGTCAACTGGAGGTAGAATAAGTAGAATGGAACAGCGCGAAGAAGACAGACGAAGTAGATGCGGTCGCGGTGCATCGATTCGAACAGACGTGGCAACGGTTTCTGTCCTGTTCATCTATAATTCAGCGTCGCGACGCGCACTGTCCTTTTGAACACGGAACTTTCGTGTTGTAACGAAAGAAATATGATGATAATTCGAATGACGAAAGAGGTCTCGGCGCGAAGAGACATCTTTTCATATTTGCTCCTGGGTAAAGTTTGCGATTATGTCAAGGTACGAGTAGAAAGATTATTTTCAGATGTGCAGATTGTGCAATAATTTAAAGAGTAATACTATTTCGTAAGAAATCATTTTTTCACTTCTTGCCTTTATAATAGTTTCCCGAAATTTTAACGCTTTTAATTTCAAAATACGTAAAAAATATTTAAGGAAGAAAAGATACATTTGGTAAATATGTAACAAAACTGAGGACGTCGTAAGCGAATTAACTGCTCAACCTTTTACCGATATTCGATTGGTGGATAAATAAATGTGGCTGACACCCAAACTTACTAATGGTTCTAATGGCTCTTTCAATTCTCGGCAAGAGATCGAAATGACATCGAAATTAGATGGTCCATGGCCTGGAAAGAAGGACGCGCGAAGGAAGGACGACGAGAGTATAATAGAATGGCCGAGAACGACGAGAGAAAGTCAACACGTTCTTAGAAGAAAGAACCAAGCAATGACGTAATTACAGTCACGCATGTTTTAGAAACCCCTGAAATTATCGATCAAGCATCGAATCTTACCACAAAAAAAAAAAAAGAAAGAAAGAAAGAAAAGGCTACATAAATTCATAAGAAAACACCGTATTCAAACCGTATTTTACGCTCCATCGTAGAAATCTTGTGCAATCTTGAAACGCAACGAATCGTACGTATGAAAGATAAGGATAAAGAAAGAGAGAAAGTACCAAGAACCTCTAACAAAAAGCTAACATCTAACGACGAAGTTAAAGCTAGCATAACTGTACATTTAATAGAATGTCTCAACAATCCCATAACCGTTTCGTTTCCTCACGGTTCCGCTCATTCCGCTGGTTGGTGCCGCGACAATTCCACCGAACGTCTAATCGACGCTCTAACGTCTATTCGCGTTACGAAACGGCCAGAAAGCGGACGAAAAAGGCCTTTCTCTTTTCGCTCCTCGGCTCCTTCCTTGCTCTTTTCCTCTTCCGTAGACACAGCTGAACGAGCTCGATCCCTTTCTCCTCGTCTTCTTTTCTCGTGAGAGGAAAGCGCGGCTTGCTCGAGCACGGTTAATGTCAATAACCGTTGCATTAGTTGACGGTTCGCTTCTTTCTTTACCGTCGCGGCCTGTCCGCTCATCTAACAGCGATTAAAAATGGTTAAAGCGTGATCCGCGAAATCGAACGATCCTGGACCTCCAGCGTCGATCATAGTGATCGTACGTACGTGTAGGGTTGCGAGCCACCCTACACGATCTACTAAACGACTCTACCCGTTTTACGTTGGCCGTGTCGTGTCGTGGCGTCATACGCCTGGT